TTTCTTTTGGTGTTTAGTGTATGTAAAGATGGCAAAGGCATTTTTTATTGAGAGATAATGTATGTAATACTAATTAGCAGATCCTTATAGATTTTAAAATCCTTCCTCAAAGAAATAATAAGTGTGATAGTTAATAATTATTAATGGGAAATGTAGAATGTGGAAAAATGATATTGTAGCTTTGAGTTCGATTTTTATTCTCTTGGGTTTTACCAACCATACCGTACCAGGATCTATGTTGTTTAAAGCTTCACTCAACAAGATTCCCGCGAAACGATGGCGGTCTGTCAACAATCGGATTTGGACTAGATAATCCCGTGATTAACATTAGGAAGATCGATCTAAGCATGTGGGAAGCGACGACATGTTAATTAATAAGTGTGCCTGACCAACCTCTTACGGCAAGCATGAATTGCTCAAGATCAATTCTAACCCGGATCTTTTAAAGAGCCTAACACTTATATATAATTTACGCCTAATTAGTGTTGTTTAAACATAGCATACTTACTTCGGTCATTCCACACCCAGATTATACTGATTGGCCAGGTTACCAATTCCCGAAAAGAACTACGGATATAAAATGTCTTCAACTGTCCCAGACCGGCTAGTCAGGGAGTCATTCTGCCACCTTTGTTTGGATGACCAGTTGATATCCGCCCCTCGGGTCTTTATCTTCTGGCTTTCAATTAATTGCTTCAGATGGCACTGGTGGTCTATTTCCAGAGACAGTGGATTGATCAAGAATGATGTTTACAACATTGGATTGTTTTGTTATGAAACGATTTGCAAAGCAATATTGAAAGTATCTAGGTGCTACAATTCCATTCTTGAAAGAGAAGTATTTGTAAAGGGTATGGTTTAAGGAACAAGATATTCGTATGAGGGCGAGCGTTTCACGTTATCATCAAGCTTCCTAATGGCCAATAATCGGGAATCAACAATCTCCCCACAAGTACAAATTAAAGGAGAACAGTTATTCACCTCCACAACTTGTCTAGACCAGGGCTTGAGTGAAATGGATGATTAAAGACAAAGCGTCCTTTATGAGACATGTATCTATTGCTTGAGGCGTGCCACTTTTGCCTCGTCTTGATCCGAGTACGGAAATTGTCGTTATTAAGAATACAGCACCACAAACTTTAAAAATACGTCATAATACCCTTTTACGTAATGTAATGTGATTTTGTTCGAAAGCACGTTCTCGAAACAATGCCCTATGACGCCTGCATGGCAACACGGTTTGTCTAGCTCAGCGAGTGCGTATAAGCTCCGCTCACTGGTGTTTCATCTCTACTAGCTATGTCACTGCATAAGCCCAACGATGTTGAGAGTTTCCAGTAGCTGTATACCGGCGGATGTGCAATTTTTTGCAAGCACGAGTTTGAAATAGTTTTCTTTTTTCACTAATACGCTCATATTTATTTGTATTACGGGGTGCTGAGGTGTTATGCTTTGTGTATTATTGTATTTTTTAAATTTAGCGAGAATACGTTACACCGGTTTATATTACATATTGTTCGATTATTCGCAATGTTGGTCAATGTAATTATTTAAATTATGTAAATATATTTTATATTTCGGTTTCTAAGTAGCTATTAAGTCTAAATGATTTACCAATGTGAACTGACATACATATATATTTTTTTCATTCAGTAATTTGTACCATTACATAGAAAAGTTTTTTATTAGTATTTCATTTTTCGAAGCGGTTATAATGCATTACACTGGACACGTCAGTCATGTTTGTGCCGGTTCGGTCAATGCATTCTATTTATTAGGATTATTTCAAGGGGTTAGGGTTAGGGTTAGGGCTGAGGGTTTAGGGTTTAGGGTTAGGGTTAGGGACCTAATCCAATATAGTAGGTACATGTCCGGTGTAATACGTGAGTACCATTTGTTGTTTTTCCTTTTGCATTTTAATACTGCCGGTTCGGTCAATGCATTCTATTTATTAGGATTATTTCAAGGGGTTAGGGTTAGGGCTGAGGGTTTAGGGTTTAGGGTTAGGGTTAGGGTTACCTAATCCAATATAGTAGGCACATGTCCGGTGTAATACGTGAGTACCATTTGTTGTTTTTCCTTTTGCATTTTAATACTTTTTTCACACAAAAACGGGAAACCAAAAACGTCGAAAGTACACTATGAAATGGTTTAATGTAGAAATTTTGGGCTAATGGAAATTGGCCTGGAATTTGCACTCAAGCCTCTTTCACACGCAACATTTGTTCAGTAATGATTCGAAGGCTAACTCACCCTCGTGCCGTCACTACACATGCTCATGTCTCCCTCGTTCCTTAGTGCGATCCACATTATCCTTACAGTGTTCCCTACATCACTTTTCTGTCACAAAATCACCGATTTATATAAAAGCGCGTCATTCATGCATGCACCGTGAAATCTACGTCTGACGCCTGACGTCAACAACCCTTTTCAGTTTGAGGCATATCGGCTCATTCCACGCCACACGTTATCTTGTAGATTACGGAATGGGACGAGTGTGCCAAATGGCATCGGATCCATTCGGCAATGGTCCGTAGATTAAAATCACGAGACACCAAGTCTACCCGTAACCTTCGTAATTGTCCGTGGCCTATTCGACTCTTTCCGTTCATTTCCGTGACGTCACAGGAATGACTCGATAAATTTGCACATTGTGCAACAGTGTGGACGTAGCTCAGTCGGTTAGCTGTCGAGCTAACAATCCGAAGGTCGCGGGTTCGCGTCCGACGGGTTCTCACAAACTGGTTGCTTGTCTTAATGACACGTGACCTACGGCAGAGATCATCCTCACGAGAAGTTGTGGTGCTGTATTCTAAAGGTGCGCCAATACTAAGAACATTCTTGCGGTTACCTGGAACTCCAAACTTCAAAAAGTATTGTGATACACTGCGAATATTGTCAAGAATTATAGGAATGCTTTCTTCCACTTCTTCACTTTGTGATACATTTATAGAATTTTCACTGCGACTTTGACCCTGGTAATACCATGCCATTGTTTAAAAAATATATTGCGTGTCAGAAATCTATGAACGAGGGTTCGAATCCAAGAATGTTGGACTGCTTCACTACCACATCCAGCCCACACGCCCTGTTACAACTGTCATGTTCAGTGGAATTAACCAAACTTACTTTCTTATATTCTCTGTATATAAATATATCAGTTTAAAGATAAAGATACCGATGAACCAGGTCTTTTATCAGACTGACACCACATTAAACTTTGTTGCCTAAGAAATTTCTATTTGTTTTGCTTCCTACGTCACTGAAATTCGTCGGAGAAACATGAACAACAAAAGACGTGCAAAACATGCATAATTTCGCTTGTCAGTAGAACTTAACCTGTGATTTCTTTCATAATATTTGTTTATCAGTAATAGAACTGTCACTCTGCCATCCTGTCAAGCGTATTTTATTTTAATCCTTTCATGTAAAAACTCTGGTAATATAATTCCTTCCATCTGATTTTGGGGACAACTTTGTCAGTGTCCAGTCAATACTGTCAACCGTATTGTCCCCCTGGAAGTTAATAGGATTTACCGAATGACTTATATGTCTGCTTGAGCGTAAAATTGGCAGTGAGAATGTATTAACTCCCATCGTTCTCAGCTGATGGCCAATCACTACAGAACCTGTAGGCGAACACACAACCGAAGTTACAACACAAACAGTGAAACCGCTGTATCCAAAGGGTGCAGTTCCCTGGAAACCGTCAGGTTTACCATTGTCCGGATTGACGAGTCGAGGGATATGACTGGATTTATAAATGGAGTTTTTACAAGAGGATTTCCCGAACAGATTTTGAAGTAAAGTTTTGTTTGTTTGTTTGTTGTTCAACGCCGCACTTAGCAATATTCCAGCTATATGGTGGGGGTTTGTAAATAATTGAGTCTGGACCAGACCAACCAGTGGTCAACAGCATGAGCATCGATCTACACAATTGGGATATGATGTCATGTGTCAGCCAAGTCAGTGAGTCTGACCATCCGATCGCCGTTTACAAGCATGGGTTGCTGAATACCAATTCAATCTCTGATTTTTGGAGTAATGAGTGAGTGAGTTATTATTTAACGTCACATTGGCAATATTTCGGCCATATCGTGACGAGAACATATGTGACATTGAAATGGAAGATATGTATATTGTAAAAACCTGTTGACGAATGACAGTAAAACAACTAGAATATCACAATTACAACTAACACTACTGTGGAAAGTTAAAACTGTTAGCACTATTTGGACAATGCAATGTAAAAATGAGCTATAGATCGCCAACAAATGAAGGTAGATCACCATACTAGGGACCATGGGGACCCTACCTGGATTTACACCTTCCCCTCAGCCACTGGCGATTGTAGGAACATTTAGCCGAAGAATAAAATAACAAAACTGCTACGTTTAAATGTTTTTGTACGTATAAAACAACTAGATTATCACAATTACAACTAAAACGAGTGTGGAAAGTTAAAATTGATAGCACTATTTGGACAATACAATGTAAAATGAGCTGTAGATCGCCAACAACTGAAGGTAGATCACCAAACCAGGGACCATGGGTCTTACAGTACCTTTGTTACCTGCATGGACCCTAGCTGGATTTACACGATCCCTTCAGCTGTTGGCGAGTGTAAGTTGACATTGATTTTTGAAGTAAAGTTGTTTGTTGTAAAAGTGGGCGGAAAAAGGATATAGTCAGTTTTATATGTATTTTATCTATTGCATGTACAATGTATTACTCTTGGAACACAATGTAAATAACACCCCTCATATCAATGTCACACACACACACACACACACGCACGCACGCACGCACGCACGCACGCACGCACGCACGCACGCACGCACGCACGCACGCGCGCGCCACTGGACAAGGACAAATGCGATATATATTCCTTCTTCATGGTTAATATAAAGTCCAGTTGTGACAAGATGAGATAAGATAGCTTCTGGACATGTGGACTGACGGGCGTAAACGTTTTCCGTATGCTATTAAGAAAACACACATCACAGAAAGGACATTTATTTAGGAAATCGAATAGACGATTACGATTAAACAAATAACAAAGCAAAACACGAACACAAATTTAATGGCACTACACGTTTGAGATAATAATAATATTGTGGCCCAGTGTATAGTACAAAAACCGTGATGTTTGTCTGAATAATAAGATAAATTGATTCATTATGTAAACTTTGAGGTGAGTGAGGTCGGTGTTTGGTGATGCAGGTCTGAGAGGTGATGGCAATCAAAGGGAAAAGCAAAGTGATGACAGCTTGTGTGCAGTTACTGGGAAAGATTCATCGGTATCTGTATATAAACGTATGTAATCTGACCATATGGGTATTTCAGTTTAATATTCTAATGAGATACACACTAAAGGCAAGAGATTTTCGCAACACAAACGTCTATACCCATGTCTGTTCTAAATGAACGCTTAAGGGCTACGTTTCAGTTTTTATTCCAATGGCTGAGCTGTTTTAAGAGATTCAACCAGACTCTGCCAAAACGCATCTCTTCCATACACATCTGTATTATATTCTATGTAGGAGTTGTTTGAAAGAAGTACAGCCATTTCCTTCGGCAGATCTTTCACGGGAACATGCTCATACATCAGAACTAACAGATTGTCCTGTCTACGGGTCACTCTTGACTGTAAGGCAATTTGATACTCAAAGACGCACCAGTCACTTGTCAGGAAGGCAGGAGAGAGAACAATCAAGGTTTTCCTACTGTTCTCGATGGCGTTGACTATGTTGGAAGCAATAGCCTGACCTGGCAAGAAGTCACGTTGGTGGATGCACATTCGAAGTCCTGCCTTGGTTTCAAGTTCAGGAATCATTTCCTGGATGACAATGTGTCTGTCAAATTCAGCATAGGAGACAAAGACGTCGTATTGGTATTGGGTATCTTCCATCACTTGACGGTTTCTCCAGAACCGTCTTCTACCTACGTGGTACATGTACCTGATACTCCAGCGATGACGATAACCTAGGGCGACGCAAATGATCAAAACAATACATATGCAAGAGGATGCAGTGACAACTCCCAGAGCAGCATTAGCATGTTTGCATTCAGATTCAAGTTCCTCCACAATCTGATGAAGCTTTGACATTGAGATACTAGAAGCGTTATCATACTGGCAGGTCATTTGAGACAGATTGCTAAGCTTGTATAGGTTACGTTTCATCCATCTAAGAAAGCCCAGTCCCTGACAAGAACACTGAATCGGGTTTCCTTGGAGATTTACTGTCACATTTGGAAGCATATCAAGCTCTTTTAAGGTATCCTTCGACAATCTCTGTAGCTTGTTATTTGAAAGATCAAGATAAGAAAGAAATGGCATTGGTTTCAGTGTAGCTTCAAATTGTTGCAAAAAGTTACCTCGGATTTGTAAGATTTCAGCCCTCTTTAAACCCCTAAAAATATTTCTTGGTAGGGATGTGATCACATTTTTTGATATGTCAAACTGTTTCACACGATGGAGATGATGAAATGTATTTCCATCGTTGTCACTCTGGATTGTCTGGCTGAGAAAATTGTTCGAAAAATTTAAATGTGTAATTGAGTTGTTCTCTGTGATAACGTTAGAGGCTAATTTACTTAAAATGTTGTGTGAAAGGTCTATGTACTCAAGACTCGTTATTCCGTCAATATGAATTGTTAAAAATATCAACAGATCATATCTCATAACGACTCGTTTTAAAGTGTTTTTTGCTAGGCGTATATTTCCCCATTGTCCTGTGACAAAGCAATTATCTGCTACGATAGTGTGTAACTTGGGTGGCAGTGGTACGGGGACCGACAGGGAGTTATCCTGTAAAGGAGGCCAAAGGTTCATAAATGAGAGGTCTATTTTCTCCAGGGATTTCAATTCATCCAATTCGAGAAGATAGCGACCATAAGCGAATCTGTTTTCTTTGGCCGAGATAAATTTCAGTGTTTTGGGCAAGGATGAAATTGATCCAACGTCAAAATGTGTGATGTCATTACCATCCACATATAATTCTTCTAGATTTGTGGTATTGAGGTATTGAAAGTCACGTGTACTCACTTTGTGACATCCCAAGGGTGGATATACGTAATTGAGTTTCAGTACATTTATTGCTGAGCCTCCAAGACCAAAAGAAGCTTTAGAAAAGTTTTCAAATCCCAATCTCGGGTTGTGTGACACATCAACAGTATGAAGTCCTTTTAGTGGACGGAAAGTCAGAGGTTCAGTGTCAGATATATTACAACTGGATATGTTAACATATTTCAGGAAGGGAACGTTAGAGAAAGTAGTATTCCGAAGGATCTGGATATTACAGAATCCCCTGTTGCTACCAGAAAGTGTTAGGTTAGTGAGATTCTTAAGTTGCCGAAATCCCTGACCAAAATCATAGTGAGAACCATCCATGTGTAACGACACGAGTGTAGTTAACCTGGACAAACTGGCGTCAGGGTATGGGGAATTGTTGCTGTTGTGATTAATGCTGAGCTTCAATAAGCTAGTTAGAGGATCAAAGAGGGCTGGTGTAAAGGTGTTATTGTCGTAACGTAAACGATTTGATTGAAGATTGAGAATTTCAAGCTGAGATAACCCATAGAAGGAACCTGCACTGATATACTTTAAGCCATTGAATGAAAGATCCAGCCCCTTCAAAACAGACACATGTTGAAAGGCTCGGTTTGGTAGTTCAACGATTCTGTTGTGACTCAGCAAGAGGGTTGTGGTGTTCCCTGGTAGGCATGCTGGTACCTTTGTCAGGCCCTGGTATGTGCAGTTGGCTACAGTACCACCATGGATCGGTTCAAAGGATATAATACAGCAGTCATTTTCTGGTAGTGTCACGTTCAGGATAGTGTCGTGTGACAAGGAAGTTGATATCACGAGGAAAATCTGAAATTACCAGGTTCATAAAGTATAAACTAGTTTTTTTTTCAATAAATGGGTGGCGTTAACTGGTAAAATGTGGCAAGGAAGTTGATACCACCAGGAAAAAAATGAAATTAGCGGGTTCAAAAAGCGTTAACTAAAGTTGTCTTTTTTAATACATGTATAATATACAGCCCTAATTATCTTTTCTCACATTTGGCCTCGGGTTAATTCCAGTGGTGTTTACATTCGACGAGTTTTCCCCGTCGGTATATAGGCAGTGAGTTTCTATGCATTTATCTTCCGTCTTTGGATTGTGAGACGTAATACCGTTTGAATAACATTCAAAAACTACTCGATGTTGTGTACATTCTAATCCATATCCTTTTTACCTGATAGAACTTATATTTAACTGTCGTTTCGTCAGAGCTATTGCTTCGGCAATGTTATCCATGGAGGCGGCCATATTTGATGATGACGTCATGAGTTTATGTGTACACAGTTCGTTGACAAAATTACTTTTGTAAATTCTGTATTTTAAGCGTCAAAAGACACTTCCACAATTATAATGAGTCCAGTGACGCTCATCATGTAATAATTCTGCATCAATAATAAATTAATATCTTTTGCTTGTTGATTGTAAACAAATTACGTCATGAGGATTGTGACGTAGTTCTGGTCAGTTGTCAACTGTCAACTGACAACTATCAGGTAAAAAGGATATGGATTAGAATGTACACAACATCGAGTAGTTTTTGAATGTTATTCAAACGGTATTACGTCTCACAATCCAAAGACGGAAAATAAATGCATAGAAACTCACTGCCTATATACCGACGGGGAAAACTCGTCGAATGTAAATACCACTGGAATTAACCCGAGGCCAAATGTGAGAAAAGATAATTAGGGCTGTATATTACACATGGGTGGTGTCTACAGGTAAAGTCTATTATTAGGTAGAATTCGATAATTTACTGAGCAACTGGATATACGACCACTTATTGTCAAAGATTGACTTCATATTAATCTTATCTTTTCTCAGAAAAGAACATGACATTTTTTTAACACTGTGGTTACCAGTGGACTGTCAAAACACATTAATAGCTTTTCATGTTATGGCTTAATTGTACCTGTGTTTTTCTTCTCTCAGTTAAATGTAAACTACCTGGCAAAAGAAAGTTCCAGGCCAAAAAAATTCAAAACGTTTTAAGCAATTGTATTAAAAGAAACCAAAACGCTGATACAAGTCTGAACCCAAACAGAAAACGTTCGCCAAAACGCAACATGGTCCCCATAACAACGCAGCTGTCCGAAAACTTTGAACGAAACGTAATTGTGGGACATTGGTCCAAATGCACGTGCATGGCTGTGGCATAAATACCGATGTTTGACCACGAATATCCCAAGACTTACACAATCACAACGGGACAGGGCGATCGGTATGGCCAATATAGGGACTTCACAAGTCACCTGGCAACAACCAGGCCACCATCAGCAGACAGATAAGAAGCTGCCAGGAAAAAGACCAGACGCAAGATCGCCCAAGATCGGGAAGACCAAGAGTCACGAAACCGTCCGAGCACCACTATGTACATCCGGCTTATCCACCGGCTGACTTGGTATGGCTGGTATACGAAGCTATCACCCCTTACGTTGAATGGTCTTGACCTGTCTACACCTTCAACGCAGACTGCAATGGGTACAAACCGTACTTCGGTGACAGTGACGTAACTGGGAGAGAGTGTTATTTGTTCAGTCTGTTCAGAGTTTTTCGACAGAGAGGAGAGCGACTGTTTCCAAACTGCGTCCAAGAAGTTCAATGGAGGATTTGTCATGGTATGGGGCAGCATTTGTGGCTCGAGAACAACAATACTGGTTATCATTCAAGGAAATCTGAATGCCCAGGGATTAAGTGTTCAGGCCTTTTGTGGTGCCCTTTATTTGACAACAGCCAAGAGGAGTCATTTTGCAGCACGACAACGCAAGGCCTCTCACTGTCAGAATTGTTCGAGAATATCTGCACAACGTTAAGGTCAATGTATTACCTTGGCCAGCGCGTTTTCCACACATGAACCCAATTAAACATCTTTGAGATCGTCTTGATCGTCAGCTGTGTCACCCCTAGCGAACCGACAAGAACTTGACAAGACTCTCTTCGGATTGTGGAACAGGATTCCTGTTGACGTCATCCGCCATCTGACGACGCCAATGAGAAGACGTGTGTTGGCGTGTTTGGATGTCCCGGGTGGTCACTCTCGCTATTGATGACGTGTCTCCTGACTTCTGTTTCATTATGTGACTCTTTATGTACGTTTTGAATAAACTCTGATTTGTGTTATTTTTAATGTTGACTCCGTGACTCTTTCTTAATAACTTGCGGGAATTGCAAGACCGACATTACAATGAACGTTCAATAAAAATATTTCTGTCAAGTGAAATCGGTGATAACTTTCTTTTGCCCGGTAGTTTATTTTGGATCATAAGATAAACAATTGTGTTCTATATATGAATGAAAAAAAACCCCAGTAATCCTTTGGACCAATTGCATTTTATCAAAACGGCGTGAGTATCAAAACCTTCCTTCCATATTTGCCTTTGTGAAGATACACGTACAGGGCATTAATACACAAACTATATCAATGAACGCGTTTATGCATATACGTCAAACACATTCCTCGCATTACTTCCATAATCCAACTTAAACATATGTTAGAAGCAATTAATAATAATAAATAATAAATAATACCAACAAGGGCATTAAAGATGAAATTGGCAATTAGGGTCGCGTATTCGCGCCCTTTTCCCGCTTGTAGAAAGCGATGCTGGCGCTTCGACAACCGTAGTTCCCATATTGTAACATAGGATTACGATCTTCTTTGGGTGTAGATCCGGTGCAGAACCGCCAGAGATCATGCAGGTGATAGACATTTTTCACTACAGTGAAAATAACAAGCATTGTCACTTACGTGACATAATCCCCCGCCGCAAATTATCAAATCAAACTTAAAAAGTAATGAAAGTGAAGGTCGTAATTTAAGATGAAGTTAAATGTAAACAAAAACATGACCAGTTAACTTCTCTTGATATCTTGCTCTGTAGTTGTTCAAACGCACAAATATTTTCAAGACTCACTTTGAGCGGGGGATAACAAGGTTGGATAAGGTGCTGACAGACCACACATTAATAAACAGAAGAACCGTCGGAATTGAAGGCAGCATCAAGATTTCTGACACATCTAAAGGGTGAAGGTGTGCACAATAAATAATGTCATGGGAGGATACTTCACTTTTAAAATGGACAATGTTACGAATCTTATCTATCTTGAGACAAAACTGATATGATTGTGTGGTTTCAAATCCGTTGAGCATCATGCAAATCAAAGACAACCATAAACGACGGCATACTCACCAATATAATACCGGCTAACATCATCTCGACCTGTTTTTTTTCTAGTGTCTTTCCTTTCTCCTGGTTTGAGCAGAATGACGGCGTTCTGCATTATTTCACTTATTTAACCTCAACACGTTGAAAACATTCGACGTCATGAAACTGATTTGATGAGGATGTTTGCCATCCGTAAATACACTTCCTCAATGAGACGACTGTGGTATAGGGTAAGGCTACTGACACCTGATCTGCAGCTACCACCAGTTCTCTGGGGTAACCGAGTGGTTAAAGAGTTGGCTTGTCACGCCGAACACCCGGGTTCGATCCCCAACTTTGGTACAATATGTGAAGCCCATTTCTGGTGTTCCCAACGTGATATGGCTGTAATATTGATAAAAGTGGCGTACAACCATACTCACTCACTCACTTTAGACAAGGGAAGCGTTCTGTGGAAGACTCCAAACACACAATACAATTATGTACTGTAAAAACGATCGGCAAACTGGCAAAGCTGGGCTGGGCAGGGCAGTACTTTGTTCGCAAACTTATTTCAATCCAGTGATACAATTTTCATCACTATATTGTTCTTCACACCAAATGGAAACTGAACAAAGTCCTCGAACTCACCACCCAATCCCGTTAGTCTCCTCTTTTGACAAATGTGAGTCAGAGAAGACCGATTCTAAACCAGATCATAGGTCATAGGTCTCGTTCCCGTTATTACTACGGGAGCGGTGGTGTAAAACGCTCGCTCGTCACAATGAAAACCCGGATCTCATATCCCACATGAGTAAACCATGCTTGTCGTAAGAGGCGACTAACGGGATCGGGTGGTCAGGCTCGCTGACTTGGTTGACACATGTCATCCTATCCCAACTGCGTAGATCGATGCTCATGCTGTTGACCACTGGATTGTCTGGTCAAAGACTCGATTATTTACAGACCGCCGCCATATACCAGGAATAATGCTGAGTGTGAAGTTAAACAACAAACCGACCAACCAACTCTGACACTGAGAATCCTCCCTCTGCACAATCGTGCCAGTAGCGTCTGTATATAATCAAATTTAGTTATCTGGAAAATGTCACAGAGACATCCGTGCGTTCAGTTCTGATGCTGTGAGACATGGGAACGGAGACAACGTTGTAGCTCGAGTGAGAGTGCCGCGGTTTGCTGGTTACAGATAAAAGATAATTCTTTATATTGATTTAAATCTATGTTTTGATTAAGGTTAGTACATATCCACTTTAGTTTCAAGCTTGTGATGAATAATGTAAAAAGGATATATGCAGATATGCATCAGCTAAACAATGCGAGAATTTCTTGACCTGCAGTGATGGAAGCAACTCCCTGACCCACAAACACAAACAGCATCATAGTGCGTATTTGCTTACGCACTGATGGACATTTCATCGAACCAACCTTGACTTTTTGAATAGAGGCAGGCAGTAGATCTCGTTACCAAAAACTGGCTCCGATAGATGATTTCGCGTGGGACGTGACCTTTCTTTTTTTTGGCGTTATAGGGAACATGCCCACTTCCATAAACTAGCGGCATCTCCCAACAGATTACACTCTTGACAAATTTACCATTGCGCACAGAAGAACAACATTCGATTCAACTTGATTTTTGAAATATGAGCCCATGAATGTATTCCTAGCAATAAAGCTTACATGATGTGCTATAACTGCAATAGTGCCTGAAGTGGAAAGAATAATTCACGCACTCTGTCAGAACATATAGGTGAGTGCCTCATAAGGAACATTTTAAAACAACAATTTCCAAGAGAGAATGATGGCACCAGATTTCCGCCGAGAATCGACTGATCGTGTCCAGTCTGTTCTCACAGGTAATATATGCAATTCTGATACTGACTCATGAAGATCCGGTTTTAAATGGTCTATTGGAACCCATACTTGTCGTGCTTGGTTAGTTTTGTGCTATCGACTCCTGATCGATTAGGGCAAAATTGATGATGCCATTCACTGGATTGTCAGATTTAGTATCCATTATTTACAAATAATTTTTATGTAGTTCAAATGCCATTGCGTGCAATTTAAAACAACAAATAATAGCCCTTGTCTCAAGACAAGAGTGCCAAAACTAACTCGACGCAAGTTATGCACACTTTATATAGCCATTCAGCACGTATACAGACTGCATACTCGTCTATGACGACATAGCTCTATTCGTCCTGCTTACCTTTGTAGACATTTCAGCACCACACCCATACGAAAGTGGTAAATGTCTCTCGGGCCTGCCGCCCACATTATGCTGAGAAACCGTGAGATAACTGAAATTTTGTTGAAAGTGGCATTAAATCCACGTCATTCACACATTCACTTAACAGATTAGATTTCGACTCCGACAGATCGATGCGGGTGCTAGTGCTTCCAATGATTCGGCAGTCCGACCATAGGTTGTTGATTATGTTTTTTTTTAAATTTCGCAGTATTTAGGAAACGTCAATTTGATATTCTAGGCAGGGACTGGCAAACATTATTTGTCTTCAGCATTTTCTGAAACTACCAATCCCCGAACATTATATGGTGGGTCTCTTGCTTGCTTTATGTAGAACAGACATAGAAAAAAATGAATAATCACGTAGTCTGTGGAGCCAAATAAGTTTATTCGTCCAGCTATGTATTGTTAGCGCTATGAGCATACCTGGTTTGGAGTTTGGCGCTGTGTAAATGGACACAATATTAGTATCATTGCATTGGCAAAGATATTCTGCATTTTGTATCAATTGTAGATTCTAGATTCGAATTATGTGTTTATCGTAATGACAATACTGAAAAATGAAAGTCTCCTTCTCTGATGATACGTCATTGTGTTCATTTCATTTTACAAACAAGCCAATAGTTAGATGATGGAAATGCAATCTATGCATTCTGGGCACAGTACTGGCAAACATTATTTGCCTTCAGCAAGTTCCGAAACTACAAATCCCCCCAAATTATATAGTGGGTCCCTTGCTTACTTAATGTAGAACAGACATAGAAAAACATGAATAATGTATCACGTAGTGTGTGTAGGCGAGTAAGTCTATTCATCCAGCTAATTATTGTTTTTTGCATAAAAAACACCGTGAACACGTAATCCATATAGTGCAGCTAGACGCTAGAACCGTACGTAAATAATCAGACATATTGTTGCGTTCGTGAAACATATCAGTGAGCTAAAAATCCAACCAAATTCTACCCTGGAAAATAACAATGAATGCTCTGATACTATCACCTTTTGTGTGAGAGGGCATGTATGTTAACATGGATTAACAATATGATAGCAAACAATACAATGTTAGCATCTCCCGTTACCAAAATAAAACTGCTTATCTCATTGTGGTTGCTAAGTATTTGATGTATCACACAAATAGACTAACACTGGAAAGATCAGTTTTACTGTAGCCCCATGAGGTAATCAACTGTTAGTATCAAAGTCTCCTAGTTGTCGGTGAGGCCATAGACATGTTAATCTGGCTCCCACCATCTAATGGCGGTCTTTGGAGTTTGACACAGATAATTTAATTGTGTCGATACCTAAAAATAGTACTAGTGGAATCATTTTTGAATGACAGTTGAAGGTTTTTGTTCGTATAATCCATCTTTTTATCTTTTCTTTTATTCCGGTCAGTTCTCTACGTTGCTGTGGTCTCAGACCACAGTTACCCCCCCTTAACTTGACCCGGAAGGAAAATAGGAGAATATAGTGCCTTGTTTAAATGGGCTGTTCTGTGTGTGCTATTTTTTTCAGAGTGACTTGTGATAGCAGGCCCATATTTTGCCAGTTAAGTGACAAGTGGCAGGTTGGTCAGCATGCGACAGGAGAACAGCCTACGACCGATATTAATTATGGTAGACTGGCATGTCTCTGTAGATAGCAAAGAAGGAAAATAATTGTGGTCTGAGGCCTTGTGTTGTTTCTTTGAAGGTTGTAATTGTCATTTTTCAATAAAACAGCTATGGCATGAATATGCGTGCTGCCACTGTGACATATTGTGCTTATGAAGACAAGAATTACATTCTATTATTACAAGATGTATTCATGTCAATAATGGTTGTCACCCCAGCCTATTAATAAAATTGAAGTGGGTGACAACCATAATTGGCATGAGTATAGTGTACATTTTGTATCAATTGTACTAGATTCGGATTGTTTTTCTATCGTAAAAATGGCAATACTGATAAAAAAATCTCTTTCTCTGATGATGCGTTAGATATTGTGTTCACTTCATGTTTTTAACAAGCCAATAATTAAAATAGTGAAAATGCTGTCTGCGCAGCCTGTGGAGCCGTCCGTAGGTATTACCTGTAATTTGCTCTTTGTGTTTGACATTAAACATCTCCATTGTTGTAGGCGAACTGTTACAATGGAGAAAATAACAATCTATAGTTTTATATTTCCAACCAAACATGCAGCCACAGTATATACTCATATTATACACTGAAAAATTATGGTATTTACTGGAATCCAAATAGAGTTACTCTATGTAATTATAGGAAGCAACAAATTTCCCATTAAATAACTACAAGTGGATTGCAATTTCAGTTGCATGTTTCCGTAAACATACTTGTAATAAAACTTTATCTGGTTTCATTATATTTCTATGAACGCTAGCAATTAAGACAAAGTCACCAATTCTTACAGTGTACCAGTCCTTCCTTATTCTTTAGGTGTTGATGATTGAACGAAAAAATTAAGGCCAACATTGTATTGTGCACCTTTGCACGTGTTTGTTTGTCTTATGATCCTCTACGGACGGAGGGAGGGAGGGAGGGACGGACGGATGGACGGACGGACGGACGGACGGAGGGAGGGACGGACGGACGGAGGGACGGACGGACGGACGGACAGACAGACAGACAGACAGACAGACAGACAGACAGACAGTAGCCTAGTAACATTTCCCACATAATTAATTTTTGACGCAATCCCTTTCTTTTGTTCATTTCTCGTATACTTGACGGTACAACGGAAAGGAGAATCCGGTTTGTTCTCAATGTCGGCACACATGCATTCTACGGCCTGAAGGGGAGAATGGAATATTCCGAAAACAGAACATGAATATAGTCGCTTTAAAGTTTGTTTGTATTTTTAATAATGTGCTGCTTATAAAAATTGGCGATACTTTCCAAAGGGAATCCAAATACTTTTGAGGAAGTA